CCTATGAAAGCGTTGCCATGGAAACTGCTAGTGACGAAATTACACTTATTTTTGGATAACCAATGATTATGTAATTCAACCCCGTAAAAGTGTTCAACTGACCTTGGTCAGTCTTTCTGTTGTATTCTTTCAAAGTTACAAACCATGAAAAAGATGAAAACTGGTACGAGCCACCTTAACAATGCGCGAAAGTTAAAGGAAGGGCTTTACCCCTCTCCTAGGTCCCTAAGTTTAAGCTCGATACCACAAAAAAGACATACCATCTTAATGGCATAAAATGTCGTTTCGTCCGTATCAGTTACTAAGTAAATATCTCGGTATGGTCAAAACCCGAAAAGCCTAAGTGGGGGCGAGGATTAGACGGAAAATTATGATATTTAGAGGTGTGCGCCCCTCTTAACTTTCTTACATTTAAAGAGCGACAGTAAGTTGAAAAGATGACACAATAATTGGAGTAAGTCGATCAATAGACCCAGTTGAATTACGTTTTATGTATTATTTATTTAAAAAAAAGTATTGAAGCTTTAGCACACACACCGTATGATAAAGTCCTGACTCGTAAGTTGATTCAATGTTCATACAAAAAGTAAATTCTGGCTAGAAAACTTTGCCACCGAATCTGGGCTAAATATCATGACACACTTTCGGCTAAAGGACTGTTTGCTTCTGGTGGGGACTCAGTTTTCATAATTTCTACTGGATTAATGTAGCACAAAGTTAAATACGGTATTTTGAAAGAGATAATCCCACAGAGACAATGGATTTTTAGATGACAATTCCAAATCGAGCTTCTGATATCACGATGGAGAAGCAGCCATTCCTCAAAGGAAAAAAAAAACAAAGGATTATGTTTCCGGCATAACTCAGTCACCTTAAAATTCTTTTTTTGCAGTAGATTTTCTTTTCCTTGTACATTTAAGGCAGAATTGACTGAGAAAAATAACAACTGGAAGCCGCTCATCCTTAGCCATCACCGGCAAAAAGTCCTTGGAGCCATTTTCACCTAAAGAGTGAATTCAATAATAAGCGCACATTTCATCATCTTCAGCCAGTTTCTTTTTCAAAGCTTAGTTGTCCTTGTTTACCTTTCATGAAGTTAAATTTTGAAACTCGCAAGACTCCTAAACGATATTTTGTATATTCCATGGTTTCAAAAACATTGGCTTTAACACCTTAGCGTGAATAAAGATTAGTTAAAAAACTGTTACGCAAAGCGTTAAAAGATAAAAAATGTCTCTTCATTCGCAAGGGTAGCATCCAAACCATAGGGAACACACACAACATTTATACACTCATATATCATATATACAAAAAAGCGTAATTGGTTTAGCATTTCATTTCAAACTAAATCGAAGTTGTTAGATGATTACCCCAACGTAATTAGTTAATCAGTTGTGAGATAAATGTCTCTTCATTTGTAAGGGTAGCATCCAAATCTATATGCAATTTAAGCAATATCCATACACTGTAAAGTTAACGTAGTTGCTTTCGCATTTCATTTCAAACTGAATCAAAGCTGCAGGACGATTACTCCAGCGCTATCAGTCATAATCGATTAAGCACGATTTGGACTGCTGTCTCTCGCTCGGCTGCTGAGAGAAAGAGTCTTACAGACTTCATTTCCTCCTAAAAATGTGGTAATGATGATATCCAGACATCTTGAAATTTAAACACACAAGAAACAAAACGTCCTGGAATAAACGTCAAAGTTTACACACACCATTTGGAATTAGATCCAAATGTTCCTTAGATTAAGTTAACAAACACACACACACATTTCCTGAAAATTGAGATTCCTCTAGTTGAAGGAATTTGCTGAATGGAAAAAGTTATCAGAAATATCGACTGATCTACGGAGAGACTCTCTTTCTCTTCGAAGGATTCGCCAACTTCATTCTCTGTTTCTTCTCCTCCCTGATTGGTTAAGAATATACAAAATATATGTATATAAGCCTCCTCCATGTTTATTTGTTCCTAATAATAATACTTTATTTTTCCTAACACACTTTGAAACATTGTCGGTGCAAGGGTATATCTGAAATCACTGTTCTTAATAAGCAGAGTAGCTCAATTTGTCAATAAGAATTTAAAAAAGAATACTCTCGCCCTTTCTGTCTTTAGGCTACACTGCAGAAGGAGTAAGGACTGAGTGATCGTCATATTTTTTCATCAAACGATCTAGCAATGATTATCTCAGTCTTATCAACAGAGTTGATAATATAAATTGGCCACCGTAAAGAGTTTTAAAGCTAACGTATCGAGTGTTAGCCCTTCATCAGAGCAATTTAGCAATGGTCTTGGTCTCAATGACACCCAACAACCTTCCTTAGAAATTATAGTGGAAATATTTCTTTCTGAAATTAGCGATCATGAAAGGTGGGCACGCTACACTTGTAACTTAGTGTAAGGCCTTGGATTCCTTTACTCGGCTGGAAATGAGGGAATGATTACTTTCTGGGCATGGCCAAACAATGCACAATAATCTACGTGGCATAATTAGTATGGAATAAAAAGTATTTAAGTAAGACCTGACCTGTTCTTCTGTTTTTCTCGACCTTTACTAGTCATAGTCCGCTTTTCTTCCATCTTCTCCAATCGGTCTGGCTCTTGACTCTCCTTTTGTTTTGGACACCAATCATAATAAGTCTGATAAACGAACTGTTGCGGACGGTTTTTCATTTTAAACATCTTAATTTCAGTTCTAACCAATAGGTAAGAAGATACGATCGATCAAATAAGTTCGGGTTCAGGAGCCACTGCACGTGCATAAATTAACTATCGGCACACCCACGCGCCTAAACTACGTATATGGTGCTATTAGTGCATTTTGGATGGAATTATCAGTATTAAAAAACAAGTAATATTGGTTGGATGGGTTAGATAAAATGTGTTTGAAAGACAAAAAACGTTTTTCTTACTTGCTCTTTTTTCTCCAGTATCTTGAGTTTTTCCACTCTATTCAGCCTCTCTTCCAGGTTATCCAATTTACCGTCGACTGAAAGAAATTGTTTAAGTCAAAGGGAATGCATTAGGAATACCGTGAAAACTCGTTAGCGTATATGAGCTAGGTCCTAATAAAGGAGTGTTAGGATGAGCATTTGCTTATTGTGACAGTCATGAACACGTTGAAAACTTGAACGCGTACCTTAGTTATACGCAACTGTCCCACTTAACGATACAATACCGAAACAAATATAATAAGTAATATGCTCTATTTATCCTATACAGGTAAGAAAGTTTCTGGCTGAAAGTCTTACATTGATGAAACTTTTGTCGTCTTCCAGAAGTAGACAAAATGAAATTAAAGTTAGATTTGAATATAAAAGTTACCTCATTTTGTTAAATCTGTATCGCTACATTCTGTTCAACTGTCATAAATGCGTATTTTAGAAAGCCTTACCTGTTAAAGGAAACGATCCCTTATATTTCTTTTTGTAGCGCTTTGTTATTATGGGGAAGAAAGTTCCTTCCAAGAAATCTTTGTACTTGTTATTCTTACTGTCCTTTCTCTATATTAAAAAATATAAGAACAGCACTTCATTTAGTCGAAAGCAGAACATTTGAAACTTATTTCGGCTACATCAGATGTGCGCGTAATAATAAGTAAGAAGATACAATATACGTAAAAGTGTTTCTTTTTCTTTTTCATAAAAGTCCCGTGATATGATGGCTCGCCATTTTCTTTATATTATTTCACAATTGCTTAAACACCTCCTGATCTCAGCTGCGCCACGTGCTCTGCGATTGGAGTTTTTGAGGGCAGCCTTTAATAAAGTTTAGGCGCAGGTTGGAACCATTTGCCTTTCAAGTCAAATCTTTTAATTTGATAAAAAAGGTAACAGTTTTCCAGTGGGAGATGTAAATGATTTAATAATTTTTTAGGTACGGGTAGATACCCTTTCCCTTTTAAGTCAAATTTTTTTAATTAAATAAAAAGATAACAGTTTTCCAGTAGGGAATGTGAATGATTTAATAAATTTTAGGCGCAGGTAGATACCCTTTTTTCTTTTACGTCCAATTTTTAATTTGATAAAAGGTAACAGTTTCTCAGAAAAAAATGTGATGCCATGTTGAGTAAGGTGGTTGCATGTAGCCAAATTAAATTGGCATTAACTATTTCGGGACACTACTAGCAAAAAGATAAAAAAAAAGCTGAACTTCTTTGGCAGTACCTTAATTCTGGTATCTTTAGTCATTCTCCAATACAAGGACGCCAATGGCAAGCTGAGTAGGTTGAATGGCACAACAACACAATGCATACGTCTAAACTGCTCTTCAGTTACACAGCGCGAGTAGGTGTAATTGATTTTCCAGCGGTTCTGAATAGTGAGGAAAAAAAGCACGAAATTAGATACAAGGACTTCGTAGAACGTAGACTTTCTCTTCGAGTGTTCTACTCGAAACTTAATTAGTAAGCACAGCAAACGAATGAGATATTGAAATATTTTGGATACATCAACAAAGTTGAAATGGTAAATTGGCCACCGTAACGATTACAAAAGCTGACGTTTCGAGCGTTAGCCCTTAGTCAGAGCGAATAGAGGAATTGTGGGTTGTGTGTGCTTTTAAAGGCAGAAAATGGAGTTACGTGATTGGTGGGAACATGGCAACGAGAAAAACACGAATGAGATATTGAGTTGAACACAAGAGGAGAAGTTCCATGTCTGCAAGCATACAACTTTAATTATTTAGAAAAAAAAATTCGAAAGGCGAGTGACAGAAATTATCTTAATTTTACACATGTGCAGTTAACGCTTTCCTCAGGGCTGGAAGTCCCTATAAAACATCGCAGCTTATGCAATAAAACTTGTTATTTGCTACATGAAGATCAACCGGAAACTCCAGATAGTTAAGTCATAAATAGACTGTTTAATGAAAAAGTGGGTGAATGAAAATACATCCTGGATATATGTTACTAGATCCTGATTTGTATCAGGAAATATGGAATAGGACATAAAGGAAACAAAACAGTAAACCATGGTTGACCGCAATTTTTATGTTGTTTTGGGGTTTTGTTTCTTCTCCACCTCGATATACCGCTTGCTTGACAAGTCCAATAGAAGGAAAATGTCTCCAAAAATATGTATATCATTGAGATAAGCTTAATAATTTGTTTCTTCTTTTCTGGCCTCATCACTAGTATGAATAGTTAACACAAACCCTGCAGTTGGCATAAGTCGTTGTTAATAAGGCTACTAGGATGTTAACCAACATGAGAACTGACAACACCAAAAAGCTCAAGAATAGGAAAAGAACAATTGTCGACGTCAAATTGGTGTGAGATCGCATCTCTTCCGCGTGGGTCATTCCAAAAATTGACCAGACAAGATCCAATGTAGACTTAACAAAACTGAAAATAAAAGAAAAAAAGAAAGGCTTGTGGGTGTATGCTTACAAAAAAAGCCATGAGATGAAGTTTATGGTGCTAAGAGGTGTGCTGTTAGACTAACACTTCTCCAACTAACATACTTTGGTCAAACACGCTGCTGAAATGTAGACAGAATTTTCAATCATTAAAGGCTTTTATCAGTAGAACTATTTTACGATCCCTTTTATTTATTTAGGTGAACTACATTTGAACAAGTTGATGGAAAACCAACTTGAATTCAGTGATTAGGACACATACCACCAATATTTTTCCTCTCCCTACAGAAGTAACGGTTGAGAATCCCTTCAAATCCTTTTCAGACTTTTCCATTTATTTTGTTTTTAATTGCTGTTAACCAGTAAGGAAAAGCTCTGTTTTCTTTTAGAATGACACTTCTGTTTATACCAGGCTGTAAATCATTGACAAGACCCCCCTCCCCCTTACAATGTTGCCTGCACGCAGCTAAAGGTTAAAGGAATCACAATACGCCATTGTTTTGGGAAAGGGGGCAAAAAGGTTAACCTAAACAAGGGCAAAAGCGATAAAAATTGAAGTAAAAAAGGGATGAAAAGGTCAATGTGTCAACAATTTTGTCACTGATCGTAGTTTCAACTGTTAAAATAAAAAAATATTCAAAATAAATTTCAAACTGACGAAATACATTTTGATTCTATTACTGTCACGAAGCTGCGAGTGAGTCATGAAAAGATTCCACTAATTAAAAAGGCCATGAAAGACTGCATGCTTTGCCGACCATGACACTGCATGCACAAGTTGTCTCTTACGTAACCCTGACAGTTTTGAAGTCCTAGATCGCTCCCCTAATTTTTTTTTTTAATACAAGGAAATGACCTACCATTCGATATTGCCTGGATCACAGTACCTCGAAAGAGGAAAGAAATAAAACATATGTCACAGTGATAAGTATCATGGAAGAAAGTAAAAGTAGAATACTAGGAGAGGATGGGAAGAGTAAAACACAATTTGAACGAGAGGTTGATGCCATTTGATTTCTACCGCTGATATGGAAACCACTTTCATCTTCTTTGTTACGTTATTCACCGTTATTCTCAAGTTTGCACCCGTCGAAGATAAGAAAAAGTTGAGAATTGCTGCTTGAAATGAAAGGCAGGGAAAAAAATCCAAACATTTGTTAAAGAAGTCAGAAAATGGTTTTTGCCCTCAGACAATCCAAACTGGTCCAATCTTTTAGAAATACTTAATCTCCATAGGTAACGGAATAAACTAGATGACACTTTCTATATCGTTTATGGTGCTTCTTTTAAAAGAAAAAACGAAAAAGAAGCTAAAAATTAATATAAGACAAAACTACCTAATAAAAAAAAAGAGAAAGTAGCAGAAGCAAAATCAAACAAACAAAACAAAAACCAATAAAATGGAAGTAAGCAGCTTACTCTGTATAATGGGATTGGTTGTTTTGTAGCATCAGGTACGATGTTTCAGTTGTGTAACACTTCGTGATGGCCATTGAAAATGCCACAACGACGAAAGCAAACTGAATTAGTATGACCAACAAGTCCCTACACATTCTAAACAACGCCAGCTGCAGGGGACCAACAACTGAACTGAGCTGTAAGACGCTGCTAAATCGTAGAGTAAGGAACAATGTGTTGAGGCCGTAGCCCTAGTTAGCGATTTCTAACCAACGATTGTGGTAGGAATCTCCACCGATTATCAAAGTTACTATTCGGCAAGAGAAAGTGATGCTATAAATCGCAACAACTAGGAAATCTACGTAGTTCCACACGTCTCTAGAATGAAAAGGAAAAAAGAAAACAGGAAAGTACTGATTAACGAAGCTTCTTTATATTCAAGTTATTTTGATCCCCCTATATTGACTTGCAAAGCAAACTTTTGCCAAACCAGGAGGTCGCCAGACTAAGAAATATTATATATTACTAAGTATACCCTACGAAATTAATCTGCGTATTGATGCCACATTGCAATGCTATCTTTTTCAAACCCCCTATCTGTCGCTTTCGAAAAGGACCTTGATTCATGGACTCGTTTAGAGTACATGGGCTAGCACTACAATTCTGGTCGGTCAGCCCTTGCTTTTTCCGTCCCAAGTTAAAGGCTTTCGAAGCATCTCATCGCTGCCGACTTCGTACTTCGTGTTAAAAGCCTTAAATTCGAAATTGTTTTTGCAAAGGAAATGCTAGACAAACACAAATTCAGAAATGGCTTTTTTTAGGTGTGACGCTTTGCTATCTAAGTGATAAAACGTCCGATGAATCTGGCTAAAGGGGCATTCTTGACGAAATAGGAACAAGGCACTTGTTTTTCAAGGTTATTCCGAGAGATTTGTTGTAATATATAAACAGCGAAAATACGCTCGCTCTGATTGGTCGATTCAGTGTCTAGTATTTGCCCTTGGGTGTACGCTCCTAAAGTAAGCAAAAATATTACGCTTCCTTCGTTATTAGCTGCCTCCCTCATCCATAACTCATCATGTACGCTTCGATGTCTACAATTTGTTAAATTTAGTAACTTTATAATGAGAAACACTGATAAGAATATCTATATTTGTCGTGAATAGAGGTACTGGACTTAAAAACTTAGGATCTACTACCTGCAGTAGACTTTGTTCGCCGATGTTGAAGACTGGTGGATTTCACTCGCAATAAATCCAAGGAAGAAGAAAAATACCAAGGCTTCTTCAAAGTTCAGAGAAACAGACGAACCGTGTATGGATATCCAGAAATGAAGAATAATGAAAACCGACATCATCATCTTAGCTTTAACGAAAATGACATATGGAGTATCCAAGTAACACTTGTAAATTTCTGTAAAATACATGGGAACAAGAGTGATGAGTTAATGTCAACTTACACACGTCATATTTCATCCATTTCTATCATAATCTTGGTCCTTAACTACAAACGTTCTCTATGTTTTACCTAAGATCTTGGTCATTCCTTTATTTTCTCGCCGGCTTTAGTAGAATGCAAACGCGATTAATGGAAGCAGTATGGGAGTCAAAATTACGTCGACCATCATTATCAAAACAAGAAGAACCCGGCATAGTGTTTTGGACTGGAAATCTTTTGATAAGCCATACTTCCATCGTTTCTCCACTCTTTTGAACACAAATGGATGCGACAAAAACTGAGGAAATAGTAAGTGATAGGAGAAAAATGAATACCATTTTTATTAATAAACTACTTCAACTTATTACGACATTGAATTCGTAATGTTTCTCCTGCGAACGATTATCCATCGCAACTGAGAAACCTAAACTTGTTGAAATATCCACAAAATATCTCGTTAACAATTTCTTTTGCTATTGCAGAGATTCCAATGATAAAAAATACCAGTTTCGAATTTTTCTTTAAAAACAGGAAGTGTGCCAGAGGTCGGGAGGAGGGGGGATTTGACGGTTAAATTATTTCATGACGGCTAATTTTTGGAAATGTCGTCTATAAAACGAACTAAACGCGCGAATTTGGTTGTAATTGATCATAATGACGCGTTTGTAAAGAACTGTTAATTCATAACACCTTTTATTAATGAATGACTGACGTTTTATGACGATTGAAGTGTTTCCACACTAACCAGTTTTACTCGCGACTTGAAGTGAAAGGACTTACATAAATGTATTTTGTGATATATCAAAACTTTTATTTATAAACAACAGAACTTGATCCCAAGTAAGGCAATCGTTTGGTTCTTAATCAAGGATATCTGAGATATTTGACGGCTAACTTTGGCCTGCTTATTTGACGGTTGACGGTAAAAATATTAGGGACCTTAAGCAGTCAGGACGGCAACGCCAAGGAAGACTCCGATTAAAAAATGAGTTTCTACTCTTAGTTAGAATTTAAAACATGGCTGCATGAGCTTACTGTCTCCTATGGCGCCACAGCTCAAGCTCAACTTCAGCATGACGTATAAAAGTAGCGTTGAGTTCCAAATGGAAATTAAAAAATAATTTGCCGTCGCGGTTTCGGTTCGCAGACGACGCAAATTTTGGCGATTTCACGTTGTTGTTTTGCATAGGACGGCTAAGAAATGTACAAAGTTTCAAAACGCACGTGCTGAGCTATTGTTCTGCCAATTAGATCTCTTGTTTTTCCATGTCCTCGTTCCCGTCGCCGTCGTGGTTGCTTAAGGTCCCTATTGCGTTTTTAACGGTTGACGGTTAAGCCCACCGAGACCCATTGCGATAAATAAAGAATAGCCTCCATTTGGCGCCGAGATATGCACGGATATTTGTCTGTTCAAAGATCCCAGAAATTTTCCGAGAGCGAACTTGGATAGAACTGTGAACTTTGAAGAACAGATAATGTCCAAGAGGAAATACGAAAATATTTAGAAACTTACAGATTTAATTTTACAACCTCTGGAACATATATGTATCTTTCTTGACGGCCATGTCAAAGTTATAAGCTCATTAGCAGTCGCGATAAAAGAAAAGTACCTTCTTCTGTTTTTCTGCAATTGCATTATCTGTTATCTTACTAAAAAGGGAACCCGAACGATCCATATCTTCATCTTTGATGTACATGTCTTCCTTCCTCTCTACTTGGTCCAATAGATCAAACGCAAAATCCTGAACTTTAACAGCAAGTTCCTCCAAGGATTTTGTGTTCACAGTGGTCGTTTCAGCCAGGTCAAGAAGCTTCCTACTAACCTAGTATTTGCATAAAAAAAGCAGGTTTAGAAAGAGAGAAGATTGATTTGAAACTGTTGTGGCGATTGAATACCACGAGTCAGCCTTTGGTATACATCAGGTATACATGTATACATCAGGTATACAACAGGTATACATCAGGTATACATCAGGTATACATCAGGTATACATTTATACAAATCAATATGCTAATGTATATACCCATTTTGAAAAACATTGCTATTTGAAAAAAATATAATATATAGATTTAGACAAGCCTAAAAGCGGAGCTCCCAAGCTCGTAACATTAATGATAACATAAAATGTGCATTTGCCAAGACTCGCCTGAGACACCCCTCCCTTCGTTTTGATAGTCTCCCCTATCTTGCCCGTGCAATCTGAAGGCTCTTACGCTCGGTCAGTCACGTGACAACCAAACGAAAAGAGGTTGACCATTTTCCATGGGTATGGGGCTCTGCCCCACGCTATAAAATATATTCGCCTTTTATTTCCATTAAAATGTACTGACGTAATGATATATATTGGGGTGGCTTTATAGCTTCACCTCCATCCTAGAATCAGCACTGCACTGATAAGGCCCAGAGGGCCGGCAAAGTACTGTCTGCAGTTAGAAGTAGCTCCTTGGTATTACAAAGCTTTGCTTTTATGTCCAAATTGAGCACTCTGCAAAGATGAGTCATGTCGTTATGTCATATATATATTATTTTGTATGTCCGTGGTATATTAAAGTTTCAAGTCAATTTAAAACTTTTCGAAACTTGAAGCCTTTTTAACATTTGGTAAACATACCTTAAATGCTGTTTTGATAGGGTTACTCGCTTCACAAAGAGCGCTCGCTGTAACTGGTTTCTCAATCCGTTCCCATGACATGTGATCTCCATCCTTCTCTAGGAAAGAATCCAGCGTTGCTGAACATTCAAAATAAAGATTAAAAAATTTTTCAGGCTTGTTAAATAATGATGTTCAGCTTTGGCCACAATGCAAGAGCTACGGTTATTACTCCTGTTGAAATGTACAGTATCATTCGTGCCAAATACTCCTACCAGAGTCTGGAGATTGGGGAGAATTAACAATCAGCATTACTGAGCAAATGGGGAAGAGTGTTTTTGCAGTGCGTGGATTAAGTCATAGTCTTTTCTATATATACATCATACAGACATGTTTTCCCATAAGGGTCATGCTTAGCCTAGCTTGATCCTTAGTATATTTTTTGTGAGATTTTAAATCACTGGTAAAATACCTCTCCCACTGCCAAAAATGCCAGTTTCGGTCGTGAAAGTCCTTAGAACACGAATGATAGAGTATTATGCATAATTACGTATAGCGGAGCGAGAACACAATCACAGAACGTTTCGTCGTGATTTACATACTTCCTCTTGGATAAAACAGAAAACCCAAATCCCTCTGAGGTTTCTAAAACAAATATCGTGGAGCTACACAATCAACTTGGCTGTGAGAGTAATTACCGCACAGGCTTGGATAGAAAGTAAATCTAAGAAGCTTAGTTACCGGTGTTTTCATCGTCTGGTGGCAATTTCTGTATACCGCTTCCTCCAACGAATTCCAATGGTCCTGTTGTGTGAAAGTAAACCATATTCTTGACTTACAGCCTACTGCAAATGACAACTACTCAAGGGACAGCGATGAAGATTCAGACAACTTTGAACCTTTCTTATCCGCCGTTTCCAGCTCTCCTCGGTCCGAACTTCAAATCAAGCCCCCATATTAAACTGGCTGCCTTTCGTATCATTACATATTTCTTTTGACTACGCTTTCATTAAATGTTAGTTTTGCTGACGCACTGAAATAACATTAACAACTTACACATAACAAAAATGAAATGGGGGAAAAAATCTGAAATAACTTGTAATCAATGCGCTTGAACGAGATATAGTAGATAAACATTTCTCGCCATAAGAAAACTCGCAAATGCAAGGCGGTATCTCGCTGATATATTATGCACCACGCCGCGTCTCGGTCTTTTGTTTGCAGCCCCTCCCCTACTCTTACCCGATCGAATAAGTAATTGATTTTTATGTGAACATAATTATCGTCACAAAAAGCTCAAACTAGCTTTGATAGGTGATCTGCACATTTCTAAAAAGTTCCTTTTTGGACTGTTAATTTTAGGTTGACCAGCTTAAATGATAATGGGACATGGGGATGTCAACGCATGTTTTGAAAACTTAAAAATACTGTTACTGACTTCAATATGAACTATGTGAACCAAAAAAAAATTAAGAAACATTTTAATAAGTGTTTTATTTTGATATTTTCACCTTGGTCCTAAACGAAATGAGTTTTAATTCATTTATCTTTCACATATGCGTGAGAATTTTCATTTTATTTTGCAGTATTACTGCTGGAAACACGTACACCTTCGTGGGTCACAATAAATGAATCGATGAATGTATGTTTGTGTAGATGTATTTATGTAACAGCATGCATGCATGAATACGAATGGTGCGGAGAGACTCCTCTGAAACTCCAATGATCTGGGCAAGAAGGTTAATGCCGCCATAGCTTCCTTTACATAGGTCACATGTAATCAAAAAAATAAGAACGATGTGTTGAGAAGGGGAATTTGTAGATTTTCTAAAACCTGCAAGCATTTTCTTCGGCTTAAAATTGGATTATACACATGCAAGTCGGAAAGCTGGTGATGAAACGTTATTGGGTATTTTTCAACCTTCCTGTTTCTTTTTAATTTGACAAACAAAACACGTAATTACCATCGTAACAATCTGCTGATCTTCCTTCCATGTTGATATCTGATCTATTGATAGACTGAAATCAAACAAAATGATGTACTGGTTAGCATGTACTCATAATGAAAAATTGATACTTAGAACTCCCTAATTGGTTAAAGATTTCCCTGTTGTACCAATTAACACATGATAAAATTTCTTTCCATGAGCACACAGACCGATTTCACTCTTTCGGTAGCCTTTGGTCTGGAGAAAGTAGAAGTCCTTGTGAAATTACTTCAGCAAGTAATATATCAAAATCATTTTTAGATAATGACGATTAAAATAATGAGGTAGCAAACCATAAAATCCGGAGAACAGTACAATGTGTTCAAATTAGCTATGCCCACAGCAAAGTAGACAAAATAGGAAACTCAGCCCATACTATTTAAGGAAAAACGCAAAGAAATCTACATGGCGTATCACATTGAAAATTCCCTTTACTGCCACGTCAACAAAAAAATGGAAAAGTTGAAATACTTCTTTAATTAATATCATAGATTGTGGTGTTCTCTTGCGCGCTCCTTTTCCGGTTTCATGCAATATCATCTAAAAAGAGTCGGTGTTCATGAGATCTAGCGGATGAGCTAATTACACGTTGTGTCCACTAGTTCGTAGAAAAATTTGTGTAAGGGCATAGACGAGTAATCAGAAAAATGCAAACTCTTTTCAGGAGTAACACAAAAATCAGCTCTTTTGATTTGGAAATTCCCTTTGGGGAACATTCGTCTCTTCTCTTATTGCTACTCCGTGGCAAACATCTAAAATAATTTGGCGTGTGCTCTTTTACTTCTAACATTCCATGTCCATTTACTTAGTCATTGCTTAACAAGTAATCCGCTATCCACTGATATGAAGCAAGCATTGCGAGTGTCATACGTTGACGATGTAAGCACGGTTTTTAAAAGTCCTCGGTACTTTTATTTGACCATTCACTTCAACGCGTCCACAGGAAATCGATATCAATGACGATTACCAAAGAATATATATTTTTTCTTCTTCATTGATTTCGTTTGCCATGGCAGGTGAATTCATTAAGATAAATTTGGCGTAAGAAAACGGCGACCAAAGGCAAGAAATTTGAAAGATAAGGCAGTCCAATAGCTTTTACACCACTTGTATAGCAGGTGCTTAAAAAGCATAGCACATAATTCGATTCAAACAAACCTTGGACCGATGAGGGCATGTCACCTAGCCTTGAATAAAAGTAATCTGACCTTATAATCACATCACTCGATAACATCCCTTTTTTGAGACGAATAAATTTGTACTCACCCACCAATGTTACGGTTTTTTCCTCCTTCTTCTGAAAGAACACTCACCCTCCTCGCTTGCTTCTGTTAGGATGAAGCGTTAGACTTTGGGAAAATCTGGCGTTGACGCGTGATCAGCCTTGGGTGGAAGTGACGTTTTAGCTTCCAAACATAAAGTGGAAATAATGACATTGCGTTTTAGCTTCAAAGCATGGAGCTGACTACATCTCAACAGAAAGAGCTTTCCAAAAACTCAACAAACCATTAAAACTGCACTGAACACATAACTGCCACAAACAACTCGAGTCTAACATGTTTTTTTAAGGAGACACGGGAGGAATCATGACTCGTTATAAGGGAATCATTAATCTTCCTATTTTTCAACTCAACATAAATCGCGCTCTACTTTTATGTATCGAGCACTGTTATACGGAAAAATCGAGACACTGACTTCCTATATATATGTATATATATACGCATTCTCCTTACATAACTTTCCAACGCAGACCCTGCTAATTTACTCATAACAGTATTTATCGACTAAACCACAATAGTGGGGCTACATATACTATTAAAGGAAAAATTTGAATATGTCAACAAAGTTGAAATGGTAAATTGGCCACCGTTACGGTTATAAAAGCTGACGTTTCGAGCGTTAGCCCTTCGTCGGAGCGAATAGAGGAATTGTGGGTTGTGTGTGCTTTTAAAGGCAGAAACCATTTTCTGCTTGTAAAAGCACACACAACCCACAATTTCTCTATTCGCTCCGACGAAGGGCTAGCGCTCGAAACGTCAGCTTTTATAACCGTAACGGTGGCCAATTTACCATTTCAACTTTGTTGACATATTCAAATTTTTCCTTTAATAGTATATGTAGCCCCACT